ATTTGTCCATTGGCGTTCATGCTAATAAATCTCAACAGCGCGCATATCGCGCTATGGATGCACTCATCTAATAATCAGTAACTGCGTTGTTGTAGTGTATGTGGCACATCGTTTCGCACACACACAATTCTCGATAAAAATTCAATTCCACTGGAAATGTCAACTGAACGAAAGGACGAAGTGTGGATTGTCCGGAGAAATATGAATGAGAGTGAATCAGTGATACGTTCGAAGTGAATGAGAAAACTTACGTGACATCATGGAATTGCAATGTATTCAATACTGTGAGGAATGAGAGTAGTGATGCATCATGAAAATTAGACGTAAGAGTAGAAGATTGTAAATGTGAAATGAATAGACGACAGCACGATGGATTCTCATGGAAATGCTCGTTCAAGAGGCGTGCATGTTTTACGTGCTTCTGTATATGCCTCTATTGTAGTAGTCTGCAGACGTTTTTCACGTCCAATTTCCATGCTATACTGTTACTCTCATACCTTATGTTGTTGATTGCGTTACAGTTGTGTTATCATGCGCATATTTTCTCATTCACTTCTGCCATTGAACAGATTCCCTCTCATTCCTACTTTTTCGGCGATTCCACAGTGTTTTCATTTGTTCACTTCTTAATTCTAGAGCAGTCAACTTTTCAGTGTAATGCACTCGTAACAAATAATTTGGCGTTACACGATAAAGCAGTATGGATTTTATGATATCACGATAAAGATATCACCTTTTCACTGGATTTCCTAGAGACGTTCGGCATTGCAGGTGTCAAAATCTGTGATTTTATCGGAAAGAAATGAATACGAACGGTGATCAATATGAATCGACAATTGTCAGCGATGGTTCCATCACGGGTCTTGTTCCAACAGTATCTGATGAGAATATCGTTCGGAGGTAGCAGATCTAATCATCTGATTAACTTATTGAGCATACGTTATGAAGATATTCACATTAGACTATTCGTCCAAAAATTTAACGGTATTATTTACCGTATTATAGTATCGTATCGATGAGTCGGCCAGTGATCTAAATCATATTCTCATATGGAGTTAGATGAACGAATTTGTTTAGGAAATCTTGCGCGGTATAGAATGACAGTTTCTGAAGTGGAATGCAAATCGAGAAAATATCTAAAGTGTCTATGAAATAGAAGAGTCTTTTCCTGCCAGAAATTGAGATGGAGTTTGGTTGCAGAACATCTCCGGCGCTGAGTGGCGACGGAGACAGTCCGGTTAAATATCGAACGCCATACGCCGTTCTACCGTCTACGGAATCATTCGAAGATGTTGGTCGTCGAACAATCTACGCAATTGATTGCGGTAAGCCTAAGCTTCCTGTACATCGATAAACGAGTTCCAATAACTAACTCGATTTTGCTCAGTGATAAGCGGCGAAAGAAGTTTTATTCAAGTGGCGCAATGGTTTTTGAAACTGAGCTTGTTATCGTTATCTGTTTGTGCATTGTGGATCTTGGGAATAAGTAAAATGTTTTGAGATAAAGACCTTAAATGAGATTACTTAAATAGAGTGAAGCCTAAGTGAGTTATTTCAGGTGGCTCGCTTGTCAAAGTGGTCTACACATGTATTGAAGAAGATGAGGTAGCAATTTCTTCTATCCACATATTTTTCTGATCACATTGTTTTTTTGCAAATATATTTTTGGAGTTTGGTTAGAGAATGAAATTTTTGTGATTTTTTTCGGCCAGGAAAGTGCTGTGATTTCCTTTCATTATAAAGTTTTGCAATGTTTAGAACACCAATGAGCTGGAATCTCGATTGAAGTTTCGAAAATTTCAACGGATTGAGCATTGTCTTGAATTCATTCGAGCGGTTCGTTTTAAATTTGTCGTTGATTTTGATGTGTTTATGCGCTGGCCTTTCATAATTGGATTTTGTTATTGAATTTTTTTGTATTTTATTTGAAAAGTTTCAATTCAGCATTCAAATGCTTCGGGATACGGCACAATTGAATCGCCGATCATGTGCACAGGTGGAGGCGCCTTTAAGTATGAGGCACTAATCGGACAAACTCTGAATCTTAAGTAAGCGGGAAATATTTTTGGATGTCTTTCTCACATATGATTTTGTATTTTTTTAAAAACTGTAATGGTAATGTTGTTAAATAGAAATTTGAGGAACTACACCTGAGAAAGATTTTAGAATTTATCCAAACAGTTTGAGAGTTCCGTACGATAGCGTGTCGTTGTGTTGTCACTTAAATGCTTTGGGATACAGCATAATTGAATCGCTTATATATGTCTTATTATCAAATATCTTATCGCTGTATTCATATTTTGCACAGAGTTTATTCTGATTTGATTGTGCAGAGTGGAACCTATTGATGAGATGGCTGCCTTAGTGAAAGGATGTTGTTTTCTGTTGAAGTATATCAAGGACGAGTCGTTCACCTACCATCATGACGAAGAACCGTTCAAGCAGTATGTTTATTCAATTCTTTATGAATATATTCTTATGGTTTCCCTTGAATAGTAAACTTCTTAAATTGTCTCTTAATGTCTTGAGATTGCCCTTGATGTAGTTTATTGTATTTAGTTTAGATATCAGTATAGACCAATCGAGCAGACAGTGGCGTTTCCGTTCCAGTTGGTCAACATTGGAACGGGTATTTCGGTGATTAAGGTTTGTCTTTTTGAGAATACACTGGTTTTATTTGTGAGTGAAATGGGACCTTTGTTGTGGCCTGCACAGAAAATTGGCTGGAAGTTGCAGTTTTTAGGATAAAATTTGAATTGAATCTGTTGAACAGATCGAGTCTGCTTACGGTGATTTATGGATTAATAGATTGGAATGATATATTGAGATTGTATCCCTTAAACCTTCTGATCAGAATGATTGAACTGCGTTAGGGTTATGGAGAATGTATGATATGGTGTGTTATCGATCGAATGAGACATGATTCAAAACGTTGCAATATTATGGATGAGGAATGTGAGCCGTGTGAAACGAAGTGAGTTTAAGATAGAATCAGAGAACGAATTTGCACGAATTGGTGGTAGTACGATGGGTGGTGGAGCATTCACGGGCCTTGGTTCACTTCTGACAAGTGCAAAATGTAAGACGGAGAGATTTATTTTTCGTAAAATTTATTTGAATCGTCTATAAAGTCTGATCACTTCATGAAAATTTGAAGACAAAGGATGAAGAAAGGTAGTTTGCCGAAGTAACGAATGATGAAGTTGTTCATTTATGGATGCTTATATTAGCTATTAAATGTGAATAATGCATTGGTTCCATTTCGTAGCGTTTGATGATTTGCTGAAGAAAGCTGAGAAGGGTGATCACCGGAACGTGGATACACTCGTGGCGGATATAGCATCGACATCGCATGATACATTGGGATTGCCGGATTCTCTCATCGCTGGATCATTCGGAAAGTGTGTGGATAGTTAGTTTTCTTTTATTACACTTCCTTTGTTGAAATTTGATCCATTGTTGTATTATTGTTGCATTGATATGACGATCTTCTACAGTCTGCAGTACACGCATCTTATACCATGCTACTNCTTACAGCGCATGGACACTGTGTGATCACGGGAAACAGCTTGTTTCTGTTGAATCAGTTGTTTTGAGTGAGTGTCTGCAAGATGAGAAAACAGAAAATTGTTCGGTTTGGAAATTGAATTGATTTGTGTTTTATTTTAGTGAAGAAACGAGACGAGTTGAGGGGTAAGGAACAGTCCGAAAACGATATGACGAAAAGTTTGCTGCTGATGTTCAGCAATTCAATTGGACAGGTAATCAATTATTCGGGCAGTTGTCAAATATTGTTGATTGATTCGTTATCATGTATTTCGAATGGCATTTTTTTCACTAGTCGTGAAGTGAGGAGATGTTACCAGAGGCAATATTATTATTTTATTTTTGCGAATGTGTTGCGATTATTTCTGTATTTGTGCATTTGTTTATTGACAGATGGCAACGTTGTATGGTAAACAACACCAAGTGAAACGGATCTATTTTGGCGGTTACTTCATTCGAAAGCATCCACTTACAATGCGCACGATCTCATATGCCGTCAACTACTGGAGTAAGGTAGGGATCCTTGGCCGAAGTTATTTCTTTCAGCCGTCGTTCATCAATTTTTGAATCATCATCAAAGAAGTGGTTTTGATGAAGTTGTAACTATTTACATTGTAGAAAAAAATCGATCACGATTTCAGTTCACCTTGTCAAACCAGTTGAATTATCTTGGAAATGATACGTTCCTTTGATGGATCATTTTTGGAGCTTTTTGAAAAGTATTTGAAATGAGAAATGGTATAGTAGATGAATATTTGATGAGTGAGTTATTGAGACCATCTCTGAATTAATTGTGGCTATTTTGTTGAGAGTATGCATCATCTGTTCGACGTTTCAATTCATTTGGTATTTCAGGGCGAAATTGAGGCACTCTTCTTGAAACACGAAGGGTATATTGGCGCTGTTGGTGCATTCTTAGAGCACCTAAATCAAGTAAAATCAGATAGCAGCTGACACGCCAATTAATTATTGTTCTGCTTTCAACTTGTACATGATTATTGAGGGAATTAGATTAGTTTTGTTGTTGATAGTTGATTAGGTTATGGTGAACTCGTTCTTGTATTTGCGCATTTGATATTCAGTTGTATTTTCGCTTGTAAAGTATATTCTCATGATTTGAAATCTCATTGTATTTGAAGAGATTTAGCAATTGATCAGCGTTAAACGACATAGATTTGTTCATGTCATATGTACGTGTATAGTACAGAAAATGCAGGTGTGTTGTGTTAATATTTTGATGGATTTACTGAGGAAGCGATTTTGTGAATATATTTGGTTGTTGTCTGATAATTCACTGTGGAAATGAGCTTATTTCTATTTTCATCGATTACACCACTTGCTGTTGTATTTCTTTGATATGATCAACTTATGATGATGACATATTGTTGATTCAGTTTATACACGCTTCTTTCATGTTCTGTTGCTGTTTGCCATTAAACAGTCTAATAAAAAATTTCATCATTTGTAAGAACATTTTATGTTTTATTTGCTAACAGTTTTCAGTTCAGTGATTAAGCAACCCAACCTTGTAGAACAGAATTGGAATGAAGTTATCATGCGGAGGTAAACAGTAGGTTTTCAGTCTAATGAGAAAATAAAGTATAGAGTTGAGAGACTGAATGATAAATAAGATGGGTTTTCTTGGTCGGGCTGGATAGACTAGGGAAGATTTTGGACTGAGAAGAGGTTTGCGGAATGTTGATAGAGTGTGGGAAAATGGAAAGAACATGAAAATGCACTATTTGTAGAAATGCTTAAGATGAAACGTTCAATTTCATGTTCACGGATGCATACCTTTATAGCTGAGCTTAATACGGATCAAACGACACAGATCTGAAGTAACTTACAAATGACACAACACTGAAACCGCTGGGTAATATGGAATAGTAATATAAGTTTACGTATGAAATTTTTTTGCACCAATTGATCGAGCAGAGCCTCGAGTTTCTAAAAATGAAAACCTCGCCAGAA